AAGGTGACCTTTCCGAGTTGCTAGTGTGTCGGGTTGCCCTGCCAAGTTAGTCTGCCGAGTTGCTATGCCGAGTTGGCCTGTTGAGTTGGTATGTCAAGTTGGCCTGCCAAGCTGGCTTGTCGAGTTAGCTTGCTAAGTTAACCTGCCAAACAACCACGTGCTGAGTTAATTGGTCGAGATGGCTGCCTAGCTGAGCTGTCGAGTTGACTCTTCTAGGTGCCGAGATAACCTATCTTGTTGAGTTGGTATGTCAAGTTGGCCTGCCAAGCTGACTTGTCGAGTTAGCTTGCTAAGTTAACCTGGCAAACAACCACGTGCTGAGTTAACTGATCGAGATGGCTGCCTAGTTGAGCTGTCGAGTTGACTCTTCTAGGTACCGAGATAACCTATCGAGTTGTCATATGTTGAGCTATTCTACTAAGCTGCCAAGTACCGAGTTGATTTATTTAGCTTCCGGGTGTCAAGTTGACTTTGCTAGGTATCTATTTAACTTATTGAGCTATAAAGTATTGAGTTGACTTGTCGAGCTGATCAGTGCAGAGATAACATACCACTGGCCTGTCGTGTTAACCCGCTGAGTTTCTAGATACCAAGTTGACTTGTTGAACTATAAGGTATCGAGATGACATGCTGAGCTGGTCATCTGAGTTGAGTCACTGAGCAAACTTGTCAAGTTGATCATACCAAGTGTTGAGTTGATATACCGAGCTAACATTTATCGAGTTGACCTATCATATGCCAGGCTAACCTGTTAAGCTGGTATGCAGAGTTGACCTGTGGAGCTGCCAAGTGCATGGCTTTGATTTTTGGGACATATTTTGCATGACTATAGATGAAGTGGGCATAAAACTGCAGGATGTGACATGACATTATATACTTTTATATATTTCTCTGTATTATTTAGTTTTTTTTATCAAATCTTATACAAATGCAAAAGGCACTTTGATATTCATAAATATGAGTCAAATGTTCAAATGAGGGGGAAGGCAGGGAAGACACTTTCTTCTCTCGGTCTCTCTTCTCCTTTTCCCACTTCTCCTCAACGTTAGTAGAATTTGAGCATAAGCCACTCACAAATCTAACTTCAACAAATATGACTTTTCGGCAGTTCATATTTCTATGTATTAGTATAGTAATTTTATGAGGATTAACTTGAATATCACATAATTCTCGTATATTTATATATATAACATTTAAATTTTGATAATTACGTAACACGTTAGTATCATAATCATATCATCTTACATGTATGCAAACATATAAAAATTGTGTGATATGTGTTGTAGCAAACTAAACATTAATCCAATCAATTTAGAGGATATTTGGTTGATTTTCAAAGAGGTCAAAATAAGAGGAATGCATATGCTAAAATATTATTTGAATGATATGTTTAATATAAATTTGTTAATTTCATTTTACACAAAGTTTCTCAAGCATCTTTTTATTTTACTTGATAACGCATTTGTTAATTTCATTTTACACAAAGTTTCTCAAGCTTCTTTTTATTTTACTTGATAACGCTTATTCTTACTGAATTGCCTGATATAAACATAACAATCCTTACTAATAACTTTAGATATTGTATCTTTATAGTCTCAATAGACCAACATGATACCTATTTTATAGTGTTAGACTAGTCTAAAATCCTTTTTGGAGAAGCCATAATAAATGTGAACACACCATCTCTTATTTCACATATTTCAGCCAGAAATGTATTGTAATTTGCATGTTATTCTATTCAAGGAGACTTAACTTTTGACATTTTCCTACGCACCACACAATGTTATACTTGCGTTGCGGTAATTCGAATACCTTAATTCTTCTATGAACAATTTCTTGTCATGATTAAGAATTTCTATTCTTAATATAAACATCTTCATTAGAAATCAATAATATGGGAATTGTTGCTCAATATATTTCACTCTAATACACTAAGGCCGTATAATTCTCTCATAAGCATTTTTGGAAAAGTTCATTACATATTCATCCTTGGCAATTTCATAATTATTTAATGAGCCCACTAAAACCTTTGGTTGTTCGGGAAACCAAATCAGTATTTCAGCCTGCAGATTTGATAATAACTGAAATTTTGACAGTCTTACTGATCAAGAAGAACAAATTAAGAAAATCTGTCAATTGACTAATCATAAAAAATACTGTACTATTAAAGTTCTGATGCTTTTTTTTTAAAAAAATTAACTGAATTTCTCATCTTTATATATTGTATGCCATTCTCTTCTTCATTTTTTCTCCTTTTTTCAATATCATAATGAGTATTGTATGCCTCTTGCTCCCTAAACAAATCACTCTTAATTCTACAGGAAGCAAAGAAGAGAAATTCTTCGACTCTAAACTCTGGCTGGACACTGACGGCGAAGATGAATTTCTTAGTGTAAATGGAGGTATTATCTACCTAAAAGTCTACTAATTTTCACTTCTCTCTCTATATCTTCTCTTAGAGTAAAGTACGGGTCATTTTAGCCCCATAATCTATAAAAATATCATTTTAGGCTTCAGACAGTTTTAACTTGACTAAGTAATCCTGAAAAAGAACTATTCCAGCCTCAATTTAAATAATCTATCTGATTAATTTGACCCTTCTATAAACTTTGGATTAGAATAATTTCTTCTAAATAGCCGGGGACTATTTTAACACTTTAATCTCTTCTTTTTATATCTCTAAAATTATTTTCTTCCTCTTCATTTTTATTTATTTTTTATTTTCTGCATTTTCAGATTTCACTCCATCTCGCTGCAGTACACCCAACCATGAATCAATCAAGCTGATGACTCCAAAGAGATCCACATCCTTGGAAAATTTCCCCAGACCAAAACCTGAGACTTCTTCTACGGGCAGAAAGAAACTTGCTGAGCTCCTTCGTGAAACCTCACAAGGAGAGAAACACAGTATTGGTGAACTTCAAACTGAGGCTAATGGCTATCAAAACAGTAATCTGAAAGTAGGTAGAAGTTCTGCATATGGATCTGGAGATGGGACGGCTGTGACGTGCTGCTTACCAAGCTTGCTTCAAACTAATGGCTTCAATGAGAAGAGAAAGATGAACCCTTTGCACTGCTGTGCTTGATAATGTGTTTACTTAGCTTTTTTTGTATTGAGTTTGTTTATGATAACAAAAATTATGTAATTTGTTTGATTATATGGCAAAACAAACACTTTATGCTTTAGCAGAGAAGAGAAAATCAATGGGATGAATGGCTGCCGATCGATTTAGTAGAGGTGGTTAGTAGAAGATTTTAATAAATTGTATATTTGAGCAAATTTTAATTGAAAATGCAAAGACATCACGTATGCATGTTCCTGAACTCCAGCACCTCTTAGTGAAGTCTACACACTAAGGTGGCTTGCATGTAATGAAAATGCTTTTTTCTAGGCTCCAAATTGGATAACAGTAAATGTGCATGTTCCTGTAAATGTGCATGATAAGGCATATAATTCTTTCAAAACAGTAAATGTGCATGTTCCTGTACTTGCATGTGTCATCTGATCTCAGCTGTCGATCACAATTTTTTTATTTATTTTTGTTTTTTTTAAATGGGGCCCACTGAAATATAGTTTCATTGTGATCGACGGTCGAGATCGTACATCGCATATATAGTTTCATTGTGATCGACGGTCGAGATCGTACAGCGCATATATCTCTGCATCCGTTGTCCGTATGGAATAATTTTTTTGATGGGGGGATGATGGGGTCATACCTCTAGATGTAATTTTAGTATTAGTAGATTTGGTGGTGGGGTTGTTTCGAGTGGTGATCAAATCATTGAAAGTAGGGAATGATTTAGATATCTTAGATTTATTGTTCAAAGTGATTGTAATATAGATATGGGTGTTTTTTGTAGAATTCAAGTTAAATGGTTGAAGTGGAGGAATGCATCATGCCTTTTGTGTGATATTAAAGTACGGCTTAGACCTAAAGGAAAGTTTTATAAAATGGTGGTGATATCTAAAATGTTTTATGGTGGAAAATGTTGGCTTGTGAAAAGGGTATCACAAAACTAAGTCTAAGTGTTTTTGAAATGAAAATACTCAAATGGATGAGTGGCTTTACACTTGAAGGTGTAATGCAAAATAAATATATCCATGGAAGGGTTGGAGTTTCTTTAGTATGCCAGAAAAGATATGAAATTCATTTTAGTTGGTTTGGTCACATTAAATAATTATTTGAGTTATGTTAAGAAGGTAAAGGAAGACCTAAAGCACTTGGGTCTATTGTATAAAAATTGATCTTAAATTATAAGAATTAATTAAAAATATGACACTCAATAAGACAAAATAAAAAAAAGGATTCATGTAGCCCAACTTGTGGGATAAATTGATGATATTTGTTGATGAGCTCATATCTTTTTGGTTTAGTTCTGAAGGTTCTTACTGAACAATTATAGGAGGAAGTTCCTTGGCGTATAATTTTATGTTGATGATATCCTCCTTGTGGATAAGCCTAGAGGGAGTTCATAAAAAACTTAAATTATGGAATTCAGCTTTAGAGTCTACATCAAATGTAATTTTAGTCTTAATAGATCTAGTGTTTGGTTTGTTGCAATGGGTGATCAAATCATTGAATTAAGTGAATATTTTATATATCTCATGTTTGTTGTTTAAAGTGATGGCGATATAGAGAGGGATGTTTTTTGAGGTGAGAATGCTTGCATGGATGAGTGACTTTACACTTAAAGTCATAATGCAAAATGAATATTTCTGTGAAAGGGTTGGGGTAGCTCCAATGACAGACAAGATTGGAGAGAGTCACCTTAGATGGTTTGGTCACATTAAATGTCTTAGGAGCATGGATATCTTAAATATGACTCATGCTAAGAACGGTGGAGGTAAACCTAAAACATTTGAGCATGTTATATAAAAATTGATCTTAATTTATTAAAATCAAATGAAACTATGACACTCAATATGACAAAATAGAGAAAAAGGATTCATTTAGCCAACCATGTGGTATAGATTGATGACATTTGTCAAAAAGCTCATATCTTTTTGCTTTAGTTAGGAAGGCTTTTACTAAAACTTTAAAGCATGATTTTTATTAGCATATATTTTTTGTTGAAGATATCCTTCCTGTGGATAAGACTGGAGAGAGTTCATGAAAAATATAAATTATGAATGTAAACTTTAGAGTCTATATGAAATGTGATTTTGGTACTAGGAGATGTAATGGTGAGGCTATTACAATGGGTGATCAAATCATTGAAAGAAGTGATCGTTTTAGACATCTTAGGCAAGTTCTTTAAAATGATGGTGATATAGAGAGGGGTGTTTTTTTAGTAGAATTCAAGTTGGATGGTTGAAGTGGAGGAGTGCATCGAGTCTATTGTGTGATATAAAAGTAATTTTTAAACCTAGAGGAAAATTTATAATATGGTGGTGAGACCTGAAATTTGTTATGTTGCATAATGTTGGCTTGTAAAAGGGAAGCATAAAATTAAGTTAAGTTTTGTGGAGATGAGAATGCTCGGGTTGATGAGTGACTTTATAGTCAAAGACATAATGAAAAATAAATATATCTGTGAAAGGGTTAGAATAGCTCTAGTACGAAAAACAAGATTGGAGAGTCGCTTTAAATGGCTCAGTCACATTAATTATCATAGGAGATTAGATGTTTTGAATTTGAGTTTTGTTAAGAAAGGTAGAGGTAGACCTCAAGCACTTGGGCTTGTTTTAGAAAAAAAAATTGATCTTAATTTATTAGAATCAAATGAAGATATGACACCTAATAGGACACAATAGAGAAAAAGGATTCATGTAACCAACCTTGTGGGATAAATTGATGATATTTGTCATTGTGCCCATATCACTTTGCTTTAGTTATGAAGGTTCTTACTAAACATTTGTGGAAGGAAGTTCCTTGGTGTTTGTTTTTCATTATTGATATTCTTCTTGTGGATAAAACTAGAGAGAGTTAATTAAAAACTTAAATTATGGATGTCAACTTTAGAGTCTACATGAAATGTAATTTATGTACAAGATTGGATCCAAAATTGTCCTGTGGATCACACCTAAGGAATAAAGCTAGTTGGATGAAAAAGAAAAGTAAGAAGATTTGAGCACTTTGTACTTTTAGTGAGAATTTTGTTTGCGGTCCCCTCTTTCGAGAATGATCCTCTTATATATAATTCATAAGGTAGGATCTCCTAAGCTACATGGTTGTCCTCATTTAAGAGGTGAACATTACTATAATTAATGCATTTATACATTTTCTACTGAATATCATTTATTCTTACCTCGTAATCATCAATAATGTCGTTGTATTTCTATAATTGTAATGAACACTATTTCACATTCGTAACTATCCAATTCCGTTTCATGGAGTTTTCTCGGTCGGCCATGATTCATTTGATCGTCCTAACATTCTTTGGTTTGGATTAATAATCTTCTTCTTGGTCTCCTGCCATCGCAGCATCACTGTCTCCCTTGTCGCGCCACCTACCTGTCATATCCCTTGTCAGCAAACTCCCAGATACGCAGTCGTTCTTTTTCACATATGGATTGAGCCCTCCTTGCCCGCTCCTGCTTGTCAGAGAAGCTATAGGGGATCAATCCCTCTCCCTTCTTGCAGGTATGTACACTAGAGCTTCCTCGTTGGAACCTCCTTCCCTGTGTAAATCCCCCTCGTAGGCCTCATATCCTTTAGGCTAGAAACCCCATTAAAGCTCCTCACCGTCGGCAGCCGTTGACAGTGGCCCAGTGCTTAGCTAGCCCTAGGATTAGATTTAAGCTAGGCGTTATGGGTCCAATTGCCCACATGCGGTGAGTTGGCTAGCCAACACTAGTCGGCGTGGCCACACACCCTAGGATTGGTTGTTGATTTCCTAGAGGAAGCCCTAGGTAAGGAATCATGTGCGTAAACAAACCCCTTGCAGAGCCGAGAAATTTTCTTTCGCAAAACCTAAACTTAAATCCTAGTAAGTTGGAATTCCAATTTCACTTTGCTTTGTCATTCCCCAACTTTTCTTGGAAGGGTTGGGATGTTTGATTTTTGCAAAATGAGAAAATCTTTGTATCTAGACCACTTTGCAAAATCATGAGGAGTTGTGAAATATGAATAGTTTTGTAGCTGGCCCATTCCACAACATCATGGAGAGTTTCATTTTGGAGACCGAAGATGAAACTTCACACACACCTCGCAAAGCAGGAGGCAGCTATGCTGCACATTCAAGTGCTAAACCTTTGGCACTTATGTGAGATTGTTAACTTGAGTATGACTCACTATTGTTTGTGATCACTTGCACCATATCATGTTGAATTTCATGCATCACACTTTCTGCCTCGATCAGTCGCTTCAGCCCTGTCGACATCACATTGTCCTGACCGGCCACCCAAGCTTGGTCGACATCTTTTCCTCGACCAATTACCTCGACTAAGTTGACATTACTTTTTGCCTTGACCGGTTGTTCCAGCCCAGAAAGCTAAGCACATTGTCATGACTGATCGTCCTGGCCCAATTGAAAGACCACTTTGGTCTGACCGGCTGCCCTGGCCCAATCGATAGACCACTTTGGTTCGACCGGCTGCCACAACCTAGTTGACTGATCACTTTGGTCTGACCGACCACTTCGGCCCAGTCGGGCAAGCCCCAACCCGGTCGATCGATCACTTGAATAGTGTATGTTTAGCATGTACATTAGTATCTAATTGCTTGCTTGCATGGTGCAATATACTCTGCATGCTCTCTCCATTTGCATGTGTGTTTGATTGTTATTAAGGCATGGTGTAATTCTCTTCAGTAGTGTCGTACAGTCTACACAACCAAACGTGATACTTCTCTTGTATATGTCTTGCATGACATCTTGTATAGTCCTTATCACATGCTTAAGTTACATTTTGAGTGTCCATTCACACACTCACCCCACTTGTATGATTCTCCTCAGTGAGAATCATCACTTTTTCAGGTCACTGATTCCATAACACACCCATCATTTGGGCATGCTCACCCTTTTGGGTCACCGCCTCCAAGACACACCCGTCCGTAGGGCTGCTGCCTCCATGACATACCCATCCATCGGTCCACTGCCTCCAAGGCACACCCACCCATCGAGTTGTTGTCTCCACAACATGAACACCCTTTTCGATCACTGCCTTTACGAAACCATCCGTCAAGCTCCTGTCTCCACATCATGCCCATTCGTCGAACCGCTGCCTCCATGTGACACCCATCTCT